TAATCCATAGCAACAAGCTGATTTATTTACCAAAAGGGCTAGACTATTATCAGAAACATGAAAGCACATTTTACGCCTTGTGGTACTAAATTCCTGTGGGTTCAGTGATAAAACTGGTGATCACTCATGCAGAAAGCAGTAATTCTTTGCCTCAGAGCTCAACACTTTTGTTCTTGAAATGTTTACAATTTATCATTTGGTTATCAAGAGATTTAGAGTTTGGTTTAGTAACTAAACTGCTTGTTTAGATATATGTGTTAAGACTGTCATGGCTAAATATGCATCACTAAACAACTGAAACTGAAGTCCATGTAATGTAATTTAAGATGAGTTGTAAAGAATCTCAGACTCATGTACAGTAGTTAATAATTAGCTGAATCCTATAGAGAATAGGATGTAGTTTCACATCCTCATTTTCACTTAACAAATTGCTGATTTCTGCCACGCCATTGATTGGAAGCAGTGAACACAGGCTCAACATTTCTCCAGAGTTTGAAAGACAGAAGACACTTCTTTTGCATATTTTCTTTCCATGGTAATTTTTCCCTCTCTGTCTTAAATTTAAAATCATACATCATTTTAAAAGTTCAGTCTTAATCTTTTGAATTTTGAAAAACCAACTTCCAAGATAAGACTAAACTTAAGAGTTTTCCAAAATTCAGCACAATTTTAAATTTTAAGTCGAATCAGTCGAGACCGTAATATTTAATATGATTTATGCAAAGCATGAGTTACAGTCAAACTTGCATAAATTGCATAACATCCAATTTAATCAATAATTTGCAATAATTAAGTATGTATGACTTAAAACAATTATACAATTTATAAAGATATGAATTATGCGAGTTTTACTGTAGCTTGTTTTGACTTATAGGTAAAATGCATTCAAACTGATGCTTTCAAAAATCAGAGACCCAAACAATTCTAATAATAATCTTTACATAAAATATATCACCTTATCACATCATTGAGGCGTCCTGAAGCGCATCACAGGAATTGCTGTGAAGTCGAATAACTGTGTGAAACTCTGAGACATAAGATGGATTCCTGTAGTTTAATAGTTAAAGCACTTGAATTGCAAACAAGAGGACCTGGGATCAATTCTCAGGCAGGGAGAAATGCTAAGCAAGTTTCCTTACTCCACATGCGTCGGTTTACCTAGCAGTAAGTAGGAATCCAGTTGTTCGTCGATTGGGGTATCGCTTTTCCGTCGGTAATAATCCCTTTAACATTTTTTAAGAAATAATATTAATTTTCTCACACTATGCACAAGTTTTGTGGGACACTGCTGTTTGCAATTCACTTTACAGTATATTCTGGGAAGCACTTTAAGGCATCTCGAAGACGTGATAATTATTATGATTGTCTTAAAATATAAGGTCATGCACATTTTGAAAAGTTCTTAAGAGTCAGGTTGTGTTTTGAAAGCTAATTTTCCCCTTCTTTTCATCATTCTACTAGTTTGTTACCCACTTTACTAGCGTGAAATCCACATTATTGCAGGTACATTAACATTGGTGGCTATGATTTTTATTATCGCTAATGTTACATTTCTCTCGCTTGGCATCTAATGATATCTTTCGCTCAGCATTCCTTCGAGGAGTTCATTAAATGGGCTCTATGCCCATTTTTAACAAACAGAGGAATGTTGGCTTCAGTAAAAAATTAATCTCAGGTTACAATTCACAATGATCACAGTTGCATCTCAATGAAATCTTCACGTGTTCTAAAATATTTCCTCCCACAGGATGTGGGAACCGGGAGCTATATAACAAAGTTTACAAAATGATAATATAGTAGCTGCTGTAGTAAATTGTGAAGAAAGCATTATATGCAAAGAGGACATACACAGATTAAACAAAGGGTAAAACAATGCCTGATAAAACTTAATGTAGTAAAGTGCAAGTTTTAATAAATAATCCTTTCCATTAATACAGCACCTTTCATGAGGATGTTTCAGAGTGCTTCGTAGGATATATTGCAAAATGCAGCCGCTGTCTATTTTGTGGGCAAAACACTTTTAATTGTGCTCTTAGACAGACTCTTGACCTCTGGCAAATGACATTCCACTTATACACAGACTTCTTGATGGTATTGTGTAAGTATCAGAATGATATCGTGATGTGCATGTACAAAATATCATTAGATTTTTGGAGGTTGTGGAACCAGTTGCTCCTAGCTTTTTTGTGCTACATTATGTGCCAGTATATGTAGGTATTGAAAATCCCTTGACTATCAAAAAAAGGGATTGTCTCCCAATATTCTGGCTATCAGTCCTCTGCATTAATTGGTCATTTACTTCATGCCTGTTTGTGGGACATTGCTGTGTGCAAACTGGCTGCTATGTTCAAAATACACAGTGGCTACACTTTATAGTGAACCCTGTGAAGTGCTTTGAGAACGTGATAACATGCTACATCAAATCATAGAACTATAGAATCGTACAGCACAAAAAGAGGCCATTCGGCCCATCGAGTTTGTGCCGGCTCTTTGAAAAGAGCAATGTAATGTCAAGCCCACTCCCCAGCCCTTTCCCCATAGCCCTGCAAACCCGTCCTCCTCAAATACCCAACGACCGCGTTTTTAAAAGTTGTTATCGAATCGGCCTCGATCACCCTTTCAGGCGAAGTGTTCCAGATTCGAACAACTCGATGCGTGAAAAAATTTCTTCTCACCTCCCCTCTGCTTCTTTTAGATACTATTTTGAATCTGTGACCTCGAGTCACCGACACACCCACCAGTGGAAACAGCTCTTCCCTTTCTAACCTATCAAATTCCCTCATGATTTTGAAGAACTCTATTAGGTCATAACTCTATTTAAGTTATAATAATAATCCCTCCAAAAACAATAATAAATTGGTCATTTTCAATCTACGACTGTTTGTGGGACATTGCTGTGCGCAATTGGCTGCCGCATTCGCCCACAAATATACAGTCAATTCACTTTACAGTGTGTTCTGTGAAGCGCTTTGGGACATCCTCCCAACGTGAAAAGCGCTATATCAAATGCAAGGATTATTATTATTACTGTTTTGCAGAACCTTAAGAATCGATAAAGACTCTTGTGTGTGTTTATTTAGCATCATCAACATCTAGGATGTTTTAAAAAAATCTGCAACCTTGACAATGCATTGACAAAACAGGCTCTGGCTATCTCTCCTGTGTTCATTATGAAAAGGGAATACTTTAGTTAGGGTAACCTTACGTCCTCGATTTCCGGGGACAGTCCCCGGATGAGATATTGTGTCCCTGACCAAATTTGCCTTATCTTGAGTTCAGCAACAAACTGAACAAGAACAATAAAATCCTAAAGGAGATACACTCACCAGAGAAATACAGCCATTAATCCCACAAGCTTCTCCAGTACCTCCAGCATCAGAAATTGTGGTGAGTTCAATTTTTTTATATATGTGTCCCCGGATTTGGTTTATAAATTATGGTCACCCTACAAGTTTAGAGGCACCCTTAGTTATTGAAATGCAATGTTAAAACCAAGAACACGGTCAAGTTAGTGTGAAAAACAGCAAGGAATGCAGTGGATTCCTTTTTTGTGGAAATGAAGTAAGGACATTATTCCAAGACTAAACTGGCACACTTATATATCCCCCTCCCCGGGTCTGGCAGCTTCTTTTCTCTGTCAATCACACTTTGCATGCCTGTTTGTGTACCTCGGTGACTGAAGATTAGCAGCGCAGAGCAAAAAGCCTCTGGAAAGTACAGTACGTTGCTGTGTGCCAAGGCTTTCGTGATGCTATGGTAAAGGGGAAAATTTCAGGTTAGTAACATAATCCCAACATTTAACTCCATTATCCGCTCAAATGATAACACTCAACATAAAAAACACTAGCCATTCCCTGGCTAACTTCTCCCTTCTTAAGCTCCCCATTGCAAGATTACTTTAAACCCTACACTGTCAGCTGGAGGCTTTTTTAAAAAAATGCAACATTTACTTTACTTTGTTGACCTGTAATTTTAGCAGCCGGTTTCATTGTTGGGTTTGTGGGGACAGGATGTTCCATAAGAACATAATAATAATAATATGAGAATTTGCTAAGTGAAAGAAGACTGATGTCCGCAATCCTGGCAGTCGCATGACATGTACTGTCCCAAACTAGATATTGTATCCCGAGATACTATTTCTTAACAGAAATCTATCTAATTTGTTCTTGAATGAATCAACACGTTCTTTTTTCAGACAAAAAGGTTTTCAGGATCGAGTTTGCAACTACAGTTAGATAATTATTTGGGGAGGACAAGTTTGCAGGGCTATGGGGAGAGAGCAGGGTAGTGGGATTCAATCGGATAGCTCTTTTCAAAGAGCCGGCACAGACACGACGGGCCGAATGGCCTCCTCCTGCGCTGTACGGTTCTATGATTCTATGATCCGGTACTGTTGGCGTCTTTGCTGCAGTCAGCAGAAAGTGGATCCTTATCTATCGCTCCAGTCGAGATGACAAGAGCAGACGATAGCATGAGGGAGGCGTGCGGTTTATCCTCACTGCTGTTTACATTGGCAATTGAGCGCAGGCCCTGCCAGTTTAATTGACATGCGGTGCCACTGGCCAGAGCGGAGCTGGCGTGCTGACAAGCTCTCGCCTCTCTTTCTCCCCCTCCTTCGGTTTAGATCTGCCAACTTTCTTTGCGAGTGCAGCGGACCAGACCCGACAACAATAGGCTTTGTCCCATTTTCTTTCTCGCTCCTGAATGAATGGCTGTTGGGGAGTTTTCCATAGTAACAATTACAAAACCCATTGGTGCTGTGGAGAAGGGAGTGGGGAGTGTGGGGGGGGGCTGTAAAAACAGCTCTCTCTCTCTCTCTCTCTCTCTTATGGGTGGAAATCTCAGTGCTATGATCCAGAGCTGCCAAGAGAAAAAGGTTGTCAAAGAGAGGTGAATGAGCAATCCTCACAGGACCCTGGGACCCCCCCCCCCGGGGAGACTGGCAAAGCAGAGACACAGTGCTGCACTGTGTGCGAGTGTGAATGCTCTGGGGGGGAGGGGGGGGGGGGGTGGGGGGGTATGTGGCTCTGGAGGTGTCTGTCTGTGGGACTGGAGCTGACTGTTCAGGTTGTTCTGTATAAATATCTCCTCGTTGTTGTGGACACCGCCTCTGCAGTCGGTCCTCACTATGAGCAGTGACGGTCAGTACGAAGACTCTGTGTCCAGTCTGATGTTGGAGAACCTCAGACACCGACTGCTGAGGGCTTTCCGGGGCCCCTCCGCTCCCACCGAGAAGCGGGAGCGCTGGAGCCTCAGCACTAACCCGCGCGCTGACGAGGAGCTCCGCAGAGCCAAGATTGACGGCGCCATCTCCTGGCTCCGCTCCGAGCTGGTGAGCCCCCCCCCGGGTACCCCCCCCCGCCCCGGGTACCCCCCCCGGGTACCCCCCCCCCCGGGTACCCCCCCCCCCGGTACCCCCCCCCCCGGGTACCCCCCCGGGTACCCCCCCCGGGTACCCCCCCCCCCGGGTACCCCCCGGGTACCCCCCCCGGGTACCCCCCCCGCCCCCCCCCCCCCCCCCCCCCCCGGGTACCCCCCCCCCGGTACCCCCCCCCGGGTACCCCCCCCCGGGTACCCCCCCCCCCGGGTACCCCCCCCCCGGTACCCCCCCCCTCCAGCCCCCCCCCCCGGGTACCCCCCCCCCGGTCCCCCCCCCGGGTACCCCCCGCCCCCCTCCAGCCCCCCCCCCCGGGTACCCCCCCCCGGGTACCCCCCCCCCCCCCCCCCCCCCCCGGGTACCCCCCCCCCCCCCGCCCCCCCCCCCGGGTACCCCCCCCGGGTACCCCCCCCCCGGTACCCCCCCGGGTACCCCCCCCCCGGGTACCCCCCCGGTACCCCCCCCCCCGGGTACCCCCCCCCCGGTACCCCCCCCCCACCCCCCCCCCCGGGTACCCCCCCCGCCCCCCCCCCGGTACCCCCCCGTACCCCCCCCCCCCGGGTACCCCCCCCGGCCCCCCCCCCCCGGGTACCCCCCCCTCCACCCCCCCCCCGGGTACCCCCCCCCCCCCCCGGGTACCCCCCCCCCGGGTACCCCCCCCCCCCCGGGTACCCCCCCGCCCCGGGTACCCCCCCCGGGTACCCCGCCCGGGTACCCCCCGGGTACCCGCCCCCGGGTACCCCGCCCCCCTCCGGCCCCCCCCCCCCGAGTCCCCCCGGGTACCCCCCGCTCCCCGGGTACCCCCCCCCGCCCCCCGGGCTCCCCCCTCCCCTCCCGCCCACTCCCCGCGGCTGGAGATTGTTACAATGGCATTGGGAACCCATGTTGCTGCTCTGTGTGTGTGTGTATCTGATCCGCTTTATATATATATATATATTTGTGTGTGTGTATTGTATATATGTGTGTGTTGTGTGTGTGAGTGTATGTAAGCTGTGTGTGTATGCGTGTTTGTATGTATGTGTGTGAGTGTGTATGCATGTACGCTGTGTGTGCGTGTATATATGTTGTGTGTGTGTGTATGCGTATGCATGTACGTTGTGTGTGTGTGCATGTGCGTACGTTGTGTGTGTGTTTGTATGTATGTTGTGTGTGTGTGTGTGTATGTACGTTGTGTGTGTGTGTGTATGTATGTTGTGTGTGTGTATGTATGTTGTGTGTATGGTGTGTGTGTGTGTGTATGTATGTTGTGTGTGTGTGTGCAGCACACTCTGCTCTGTGCTTTACTGACACTGACACAACGCTACACTGGTCACCTCGCCTCACCTCACCAGATCCACAGCCTGCGGGGGTGGGGGTGGGGTGGGGGGGGACAGAGGTCCAACACGCTGACTAAGTTAGAAAGACTTTGCAGATTTTCACACTGCACAATTCCCCCTCGATTTTATATATATATATATATATGCACACACACATATATTAAATGTGTGGTTAATTTTAAAAGTCCCCTCCCTCTTACTAGATGAATACTTTTTTTTTGGGGGGAGGGGGGGGGGGGGAGTCAAAATAGTTTCGTCGATCGCATTTTGGCCATTCGAGTGAGTTCATGGTTTGAATAAGAAAGAAAAGTCTTTTTTTTAACAATAATAAACACGGCGGTGCAGGCGTGTTTGGTTTGGGAGAAGCAATACTATCCACGTTACAATTGATTATATACTGGACGATATTTCACACAAGGCTGCAGCCGTCACGGTCAATGGATCAGAAGGATTGATGGCGATTTGATGCGAGTCTCTCGTAGAACAATATCTGTCTAACCCTTTGAATGTCAATGAGCAGCGAAATGCTAATTTCAGCGCTTGTGTTGTGGTGTCCCCTTTGCATTTGAAGCTGGAGATGAGGTCCCAGGATCGACAGCTTGCCAAGACGTTGTTGGACTTAAACACAGAGATACAAAAGCTGAGGAGTGAGCACCAATTGTCCAGGAATGCAGACAACGCAGCTCAGCAAGCAGTGGCAGATCCTGAACTTCAAACCACTCTGCAGAACAAAGAGCATTCGGAGTACGTCTGAGAGAGAGAGAGAGAAAGTGAAAGTGCTGGAGAAAAGGGAATAATATAGTGCCTCTACCATTTGCCCATTAACTTTTTTTAAAAAATATATATATAAATAAAAAAAATTGTGCGCTGTAGGATATTTTCACATTTACCAGTGAAGTGAAATGAACAATGCACTTGTCCATTTCTGTATCCCTCCCCCAACCTCCACTTGTGTTGCAAAAAATCGAGTTGTTTCTGTCAAAGAGGGAGAAGAAGAGTCAGAATGGATCTGATGGGGTTACTTTGTTAATGCATTTTCCCTTGTTCTAAGAATAACAAACATTCTTTGTAAGTGGCGGAAGGATAAGACATGTTATTATTGAATTGATAAAACTGGGAAAAATCATCACCCTTTCCTGCATCTAAAGGCAGGGGAAAAGGGTTGACATCAATATTAGGGGTTGATATGAAACTGACATGAAACCAATCACCAACCCCTTGCCATTGTGGTTCTTCCTTGTGGGGAGAAGAGAAGTGGGCTGTAGTTATGGAACAGAGAAAATTATACAGGATCAGTTTTAAGTAAAGACAATATTTGTTTAACCCTTCAAGACCCAGCTGAGTCACTTTTAGCATTCCAAATTGGGGGACTAATTTAAGCACTCTGAGATGCCGTGAAGGGCACTCTATAAATTCAAGTTGTTGCTGAATCCTGGGATTTGTTTATCTCAGATTTACACAATTGTGTATGTGTAGGACAGAGCTACGACTCTCAGTGCCCCAGTGTACAAGCAGCAGTGCCACCCTCTGCCCATTGTATAATCCAAGTCACTCACTATCTTTCAATAATCCAGGATAATCTCTAATGATCAGTATTTCGATTTTGCAGGATCTATAACCCGTAATTAGTTTTTAAAAGCATAATCAGAGCAGAGAACATTGCTTTTAATCTTTTGCTCTCCTGATAAGAATTTGAATCCTACCCAGTAGTCATCTGAGTGACTTTGTTTGGGGGATCTGGCACAGTGTGCATCAGCCAAATTGCATTTACACTAGCATGTAAATACTCTCCCAGAAATATTCTCTTTTTCTTAAAAAAAAGTTACATATGAAACTGCTGGATTTATTTCTGTTCTAACACTGTTCTGCATTTACCCATCTTGCAGATTGTTAACATTGTAGTCAAGTTGTTGAATGAAAATGAAATCAGTTTCTTGTGCGTTACAAAAGTTTATGAATAAAACTAAGGCATTTCATCCTTTCATGATGTGTCATAGCATTTTCTGCTGTGTCTGCTGAGAGGAGGGGTTGCACCATTTTATATACTTCCTAAACATTCACATTATTTTACTAAAGTTGTCCACAAAATATAGGTCAATTCAATTTACAGCGTATTTTGTGAAGCACTTTTGAGAAGTCTCAATGACATGATAAGGTACTGTATCAAATGCAAGGAATATTATTATATTTATTACTACATAAAGTTGATCTGTATAAAGGATCTCCATCCCAGAAATTCCACAAGTTACTGGTGCAAATGTTACATATGAAACTGCTGGACTAAGCGCTTTGAGACGTCGAGAAGACGTGAAAAGCGCTATATCAAATGCAAGGATTATTATTATTATTATATAAATGATGCCGATATCGTGTGCTGTCCAGCAAATGTCGCTTTGAGAGGTATAGAAGGAGGGCACAAAAGAATTTGAATTCTAGGGAAAACAAAATCTATTGCTTGTAATGTATTGTCAGATACAAGCTGTTATTTATGTCCTTCTCACTGCCGTGCCTTTCTCTGCAATTGGCTGGCTACACTTTAAATTATTCAACTGATTTGTAACAATGTTAATGCAATAGTAAGCAGGAGTTCTCAAAGGGAGGACAGCGTGATTTGTTACACTAGTATACATGAAAAGAACAGCTTGCAATCCTTTTCATGCACAATTGCTCCAGTTCAATTTATCGCTCTCAATGTTAGAACAGGGTGGTCCAGCCTTTTGGCTGCCGAGGGCCGGATGCCCTGTTTGGAAACTGTCCGCAGGACGCATAAGCAATATTTTTGTGTTTCCCTTCCAGAAACGTAACATAACATTTACACAGCGCCTTTTTAATGTAGGAAGCACATCTCAAAGGTCTTGACGCTGGCGGCGGAGCATCTAAGGGGTGGGAGCCGAGGGAGGTGGGATGGGGAGGGGAAAAGATGACTGAAAGCGCGGTCAAAGGGTTAGGTCTTGATGTGCTTTGAAAGAGGGGAGGGAGAAAGCAAGTTGGAGGGGCTTCAGGAATGGAGCTCCAGCCAGTGGGTGCAAAATGGCGATGGTGGCACAGATTGGGGGGTGGGGGTAATGGGACATGAAACAAGCTGGTTTTTGCTGGACACAGGGAACGGTCAGGTCATTCATTGCAGGGTGGGGAGGTGGATGAAGGTTGCAGAGGAGTTTCTCATGGGGAAATAGGGAGCTTGCTGTGAGGAAACTGCATGGCATGTCACTCGATGTCTCTCCTTGGGCGCTTCCCGGCAGCTGAGGAAGCCTCCGATTATCTGTTCTGACAGTGAATTACGAAACGCTGCCCTCACTGCCTCTCTCTATCTTTCTGTGCTCACTCTCTCACTCGCTGTTCCCCCTCTCTTCAAGCAATCACTTTCGCTCCCACCACTTCTCAATCACTCTCTCTCCCCTTCTCTTAACCACTCTGTCTCCCACACACTCTCTCACACTTACTCGTTCTCAATTACTCTCTCCCCCTCTCTCACACCCTCTCTCCCACACAATCTCTCTCATCCCTCTTCTCTTTGAATCACGTTCTCTTTCCCCCCCTCTCCCCTCTCCCTCTCTGTTTCTCTCTCGCCCCTCTCTCAATCACTCTCTCTCTGTCCACCTCCCTCTTTCTCTCAAGCAGCTCACTATCTAGCAGTGTGGGAACGTCTGCTTTCCCAGCCACCCGCGCGTGTGTCTCACTATCTGGCAGAAACAGGAGCCAGTGTTTGGGAGGTTGCAGTTGATCCAGGTTTTCCCCTCAGCTCGTGAGGGGCTTCCTGACAGACTGTAGCAATGGGCAGTATAACCATTCCCTGCAGTTCAGTGCACTGCAGGGTGTCAGGTAAGTTCAGGCTGAAGGAAAAGCATATGGGTCTATTTACCCACCTTCAGCTTCTGCTGCTGCCATGAGAGGATGGTTCGCCAGTGAGGGAGAGAGGGAGGGAGCGGGTAGCCCAAGTTGGAAATGGTTCTCGGGTCAGATGCAAGCATTCCCCGGGCCAAACATGGCCGCTAGTTGGACCACCCTGTCATAGAATAAGGTAGTTTCAACATGTTATTGCACCAGTGCATGGTCTGAAACATTTTGAATACAGTTTTTTTGCATGAAGGACGCTATATAAATGCAACTCATTCTTATTTAAAAGCCTGGCCATATGCGGGAAAGATATTCAGTTGTAAAATAGTAGATAACCCCCTATGTGCCATCACTGACAATACTTACACACAAGGTTCCCTCTGTGTTAAATTTTTTTGCAGTTTTAGCTTTGTGATTCTTTCCACTTACAGATAAATTAGAGAGCAAATATGCTAGAATTATATCAGCCGGGGAGGAAATCATATGGGGAGTCCACAAAGAACTTGCCAGCTCTGTTTACAGCCAAGCTACTTTCCCATTGTTCACGCTCTTGCTTCCCAACAACAAGGTTAATGATGGAGGTAGGAGAGGAAACACTCAATCAGTTGGAACCTGAGTTATTTTTAAACACAGTTTACTTATTTCACAATCACAAATGGCCAGCAGTGCAAACATCAGTTGGATATCCAGCCCAATGTATAATGGCATTGTTAAACATGATACAAACGTTCAAATACTATTCCAACAGTAATTATACACATCACTATGAATCATCAAATAGACCTGATAAACATCAAGTATGACAAGAGAACAAACAGTAAAATTCTCCACCCCTCCCACCTCCCTCAGCTTCCTCACCCCCAGCTCTGGCTCCCAGTTTGCTCTGTGAAGTGATTTGACACATGACAGGTACTGTACTATATAAATGAAAAATTGTTATTGTTGAAATATTCCTCATGTTACTAAGTAAGCAACATTTATGATCTGCCCTAACCCGTTAGTTCACAGCACCAATGTTAATACACTTACTAACATAACATACAGAATATCCCTACTAATTTATTCTGCTAGCTGGACCTTGTACTAACGTGGATAAATCAATTATATGTTCTGACTAACACCAGAAGGGAGACGACTGAACCTCTTCTGGAGAGGGAAATCTGATCACGGCAGGGGATTTCACACCTATTCGTGTACATTAAGGAAATTTCTTATCCTTTGCCAAAGTTAATAGCAAGGTCCCATCTTTCCCATATTCTAAGGTGCCAATATCTACAAGGTTAATGTTCCCAAGGGTTGCTTTCACCTGAATTTATTCCTCAAGCCTTGTGAGTAGTCCTTTTAGCCACTAACAATGTTAGCTTTGTCGAACTATCCATCTGCAAATAATACTTCTGCCCAAACATAAATAGAAGATTAGATCTTCTTGATGTAAATGTAGACGGATATAGAAAAATAATAGTGCACATAATAGTCTGAATGTTAGTTTAATGAACTATACAGCAAAACTGTATAGCAATCATTATCTTCTCATCAGTATATCAGCAGATACATTTTTTCAGTTACAAAATGACTAACTATATAAATATGATAAAAGTGTCCATTACTGCACTAGTTATAATTAGGAACTGTATGATTTGCAAACAGCGAAGATTGTTGCTGGTTTTAATTAAGTTAATGATTTATGCATACAATGTTGATTACAACAAAATTAACATTATCACTAGTTAAGCAAATGAGAAGGTTATGAAAAACAGTGCTTTGTTGTATATCTATTTAAGACTAAAAATGCATCCAAAGGACCAATGCCAAAAATTGATTTAAATTAATCTAGGGTAAATATTTCTCTTAGTCTCAGATAAACTAATTATAACATAATTTCAAGTTAACAACAGAACAACATATTTCCAAATCCTTTCCTTTACTGGCAATCCTTTAATGGTATCATTAAATGAAGTAAGTTGCCTAAATGCTTACTTATTTCTGGTAAAATGACTTAAGATATACAACAACAACTTGCACTTATATAGCGCCCTCCACACAGAGTAGCCCCTCAGAGCGCTTAACAGTGGCGGAGCCTGACTCCGAGGCGGGGGGAGGGGGTTGGGGAAGGTGACTGTAAGCACAGTTGAAGAGGAAGATATAATAAGTTCTGTTTACAAAGAAGTGATCTGCACTGGAAAGTATAAACAGTCTATTGAATATGCATATATACAGAAAGTTGTTAGGATGTGAAATGCCCTGATGGGTGTGGGTGGTCAAAGCATAATCCATATTAGCTTTCAAGGGAGAACTAGATAGATGTCTAAAGATAAATAATATGCAAGAGAATGGGGAAAAGTCAGTTAAATAGAACTCAATGGACTGCTCTTTCAAAGAGTCAGCAGAGACATAATGGGTTGAATATGCAGTAGTTTACTGTTCTATTGATCACTAATAAATAGATGGGGGCTATGGAGGGTGCAAATTGCACTGTTCCTGAAATCACCTTGTGCAGGTGGGAGGAGGAGCTGTGCTCGAATGTAATTCATTACTTCCTGCATCTCCAATTATACTGCATTTTGGCAATGAATCACTGTCCAAAGCATTACAGAGGAAATTCATCTGGATAATATCAGGCTTTAAGAAGTTAACTTCTGAAGAAAGGAATGAAGTGACCTGGTAGAAATGTTGAAGTAACGCACAGGATTTCCACCTTGTTTTTTGAAAGCTCGTGGTGTGTACTAACAACATACTGATGTAGTAACACTCATATGTCCACAGGATTTGAATCAAGTAAGGAACTACTGGATAATACAGCCTAGCTTCTTGTGTGACATCATTTTCCATCTATTTAATGCACTGGAGAGATGAGTGCTGACGTATGATGAGTGACTACTGAGTGGATATTATACAGACTGCAAAATCTCCCCTAAGAGGATTCCTACCCCTATCGCCAACCTAATCCTGCCTAAAACTGGAAAATTGGAATTGGATAATCTGTTGGTAGCCATCAAATCTATGCCATAAACTGGATGGTCAATGATGTGCTTAAGGCATGGAACTCCTCCTGCAGGATGTTCTATTTCTTGACACGTGACTCAAAGTGGTAGTGGATGAGAAGGGACTTGCGAAACAATCTCGGGAACTTGAGAGGAAGCTGTCC